GAAAAAAATATTCTTGAAAAAAATCATGCCAAAGATGGTACTTGAAAATTTTTCTTTAACAAATCCCCACCGGCTATGGCCCTTGACAAAAATATTCTTTAAAAAATCCACGCCAAAGATGGTACTTGAAAAAGTTTCTTTAACAAAATCCACACCAATGATGGTCCTTGAACATTTTTTTAACAAATCCCCGCCTGTTATGGTCCTTAAAAAAATATTCTTTAAAAAATCCACGCCTTTTATAGTCCACGAAAAAATATTATTCAAAAAATCCACGCCTCTTATTACTTACTTATAAGCCGAGCTTAAAAAAGATTTCCAAGCGTGTCGGTCTTGTGCGCATCACCTCTAATTTGAAAGGTAACGTTCCAAGATGTTGTCTTCTACTTGGTTTTTCAATCTAGTTCCTGGCCTTCCCCTTAAGCGGGAATCATCACTAGGCTCGGTTTAATATGCCTTTTGAGCTGGGGTATTCTCATTCATTCGCACAACATGGCCTAGCCAATGTAGTCGCTACAGCTCAATACGACTGACTATGTCGATGTCCGCGTATAAATTGTAAAGCTCGTGCTTCAATCGACACCGATATTTACCGTCGACGCCGATCGGCCCGTAAATCTTTCGGAGAATTTTTCTTTCAAACACCCCAAGAGCTGCCTCATCTGCTTGCGCAAGTACCCATGCTTCAGATCCATATAACAGCACTGGTAATATCAGCGTCTTGTAAAGTGTGAGTTTGGTCTGGCGGGAGGCGGCCTTGTTTCTAAACTACTTACTTAGACCATAGTAACATATGGTCTAAGTAAACGCAGACATGGCATTAAACACCTCTGAATGGATAGGGCTGTCGAATGCGGCTTTATAGTCGACGAATAGGTGATATGTGTCTATGTGTTTTTCGTGGGTCTTTTCCAGAATTTGGCGTAGAGTGAAAATTGGTCATGGTGGATTTGCCAGGTCTGAAGACGCATTGGTATGGTCCAATAATGTCAATGACCATTGGCTTCAGTCGTTCACACAGCACACTGGATAGCACTTTATATGCGATGGGAAGGAGACTTATTCCTCTATAGTTGGCACATATCGTCTTGTCTCCTTTTTTGTGCACGGGACACAGGATGCTGAGGTTCCAATCATTGGGCATGCATTCCTTTAGCCAAATTGTACTAATCAGCTGGGGCATGCTCCTGACCAGCATCTGACCACCAGTCTCATGCTGCTTTATTGTTCTTCAGCCGATTAATTGATATTCTGACCTCATCTTGGCTAGGTGGTATACATTCTATACCGTCATATCTTATTAGTTCTGGGGTATCTTCTTCACCGCCACTATTTGATACCAGAAGCTTTTCAAAATGCTCCTTCCAAATCCTCAACACACTGTTTGTATCTGTCACCAGGTTTCCTTCTTCATCTCTACAGGAGAATGTGCCTGCACCAAAGCCTTCGGTTTGGTGTTTTACCCGTTGGTAGAATTTCCGGACTTCATTCTGTACATCTCGATTTGCTCACGCTCACGTTTTTCTTGTTCTTTATTCTTTTTTCTGAAACACGTTTCTCCTCCTATCCCTTTTCTCCCGATAATTCTCCATCACATTACGTATTGCTATTTCCAGCAGGGTTGCCCTATACGCTGCGTTTTTCACAGTACCATTACGACACTCCCGATCGTAGAATGGGTTTCTTGTAGGTGGTTTTTGGTACCCAAGTGTTCCTTTTGCTGCAGTTTGTAGAGAGTGGACAATTCTTTGCCATTGTGCTTCTATACAATTATCGTGACAAGAAGTGCTTTCGTCAAGCAGGTGGGTAAGTTGAGCGGAGTAGGCCTCGGCTACCTGTTTTGTTTTCGACGTCGAATTTCCTTTTGGTGTTAAATCGCACCTTTACTGCAGCATTAAGACGAGTATGAACTTTGGCTGCTACAAGGTAGTGGTCCGAATCGATATTCGCTCCTCGAATCGATCCGACGTCTAACACACTGTATGAATGCCTTCCGTCTATCACAACATGATCAATTTGATTTATCGTTGCTTGATCAGGAGAAATCCAGGTGGCCTTGTTTATATCGTGATGCTTGAATCTTGCGCTGCTAACTAACATGTTTTTATGCCGCGAAGTCAATCAGCCTCATGCCGTTGTCGAATGTATCTTCATGAAGGCTGACTGTTCCGACGGTGGTACCAAAGATATTTTCCCTTCCGATTTTTGTATTAAAATCTCCTAGCAGAATTAATGTCATGACCAGGACAGCGATCATATGCTGTTTCTAGGCGCACGTAAAATATGTCTTTGGTCTGCTCATCTTTGTCTTCGGCCGGAGCATGGGCGCAAATAAGACTGATGTAGAAGAACTTCGCTCTTTTGCGGATTATAGCAATTCGCTCATCTACTGGAGTGAATATGGAGAAAAGGTCTTTTATTCTCCTGTTAACCATAAATCCGCAGCCAAATTCATGTCTCGTTTCATGGCAGCTATAATACAGTGCGTAATCGTCTGATTTATTTACGCCTGTCCCTTTCCATCGCATTTCCTGTAAGGCAATAATATCGGCTTTGTAATATTAAAGCGAAAAAAGCGCCTGTTCTGTACAACATGGGCACATTCCAAGTGCAGGTTCGCAGATCGTGGTCATTTATACTTTTGCGTGGGTCGTCAACATTAGGGGTCTTTGGTTTTCTTTTTCTTTGTTTTTTTCATAGTAGGAGGGGTTTTGTGAGTGTGGACAACTAACCCGACGCCTCAACCCATTTTTTTATAGTTCTTATGGGTGAACTTGCGGCACATATTGGCTCACAATTTCATCGGGTGATGAAAATAGCTACCCCAGGAGACACGGCGAGGAGGCCAGTGTCCACAATTGAGATGAAAGAGGGACTAAGATAAGCCTGGGCTTCGCCATGTTAAAGCCAATCAGAGCCATATAGTCCCTAAAAAAATATTCTTTAAAAAATCCACGCCTCTTATATTCCGTAAAAAAATATTCTTTAAAAAATCCACGCCTCTTATAGTCCTTAAAAAAATATTCTTTAAAAAATCCACGCCTCTTATAGTCCTTGAAAAAATATTCTTTAAAAAATCCACGCCTCCTATAGTCCTTGAAAAAATATTCTTTAAAAAATCCACGCCTCTTATAGTCCTTGAAAAAATATTCTTTAAAAAATCCACGCCTCTTATAGTCCTTGAAAAAATATTCTTTAAAAAATCCACGCCTCTTATAGTCATTGAAAAAATATTCTTTAAAAAATCCACGCCTCTTATAGTCCTTGAAAAAATATTCTTTAAAAAATCCACGCCTCTTATAGTCCTTGAAAAAATATTCTTTAAAAAATCCAAGCCTCAGGCCTTAAAAAATACTGTAAAAATTCTGCTCTTTGAGAAAATCCTCTCTTTTTGATAATTTCTCTCTCTCTTCTTCTCCCAAAAGTACCTTTTTCTTGCCCGCCAGTATGGCCTTATCAAAGTGTATATGTCCTTTATTTTTTTGTTGTTGTTGTTTTTTGTTGGTGCATGTGTATCTATGTTAATAATATGTGAGTGTTTTTGTTGTTGTACTCTAAAGAATATTTTTTTTCAAGTCTACTTTTAGGGGCTACATGTGTAATAGCCTGAGACACATGAGAAACAAAGTGATGCTGCTGCTGTTTTAAAAGCACTTGGGCTAGCAGCAATTCCAAGTTTAATGATTTCTCTATGAGAAAACAAAAACAACAACAACAAGTATTTTAACATAACTGTAATAGAAACCCAAAAGAAGAAGATAATGATGGAGCTATAAAAGGCGAAGGCGAACTCCCAGAGACATTAGTTGCGGGTGATGACTGAGGATACAGGGTGGATAGGTACCTCCAAGGTGTTGCCATCAAAAAAACTAAGGTTGTTAAATGATCCTGTTCTGTCTGTCGGCCCTGCTGATGTCCTTTGGAAGTGTTTGTTTGCTTGTCAGTCTGTAGGACTCCTGTCACTATCCCAATGCCTATGCCTGTATTTGTGGGTGAGTGTCTTGTAATCTGTAGTCATAAAGTTTGCTTGCAGTAAATATTATGACACTCATTCATTCAGGGGGAGGGCGGCCCTGGCAGGCAAAAAGGACGATGATGTTGTTGTTTTTGTTTTATGGTGTTATTAATGCAGCCGTTTTAGTTTTTGTACCTTGTAAAGGTAAAACGACGTCAATGAGTCTATTGTTTCTGGTTCGAAACAACAGTTCCAACAGCATCAGCTGGAGCTGATGCAGCTTCGGTTCGGCAGTTGTTGTCACTAAGTGTATATTGATGTTGTTTCAATGTATGCAAGGCGTTATGTTTTGTAGTTTTCTAGAAATACATTTTTGTGTAATAGTAGTGGTTGTTGTTGTCTATTCTCTGATGTCGATGTTAATGTCGTTTTGTTGCTGCTACTGTTTTGTCATTAATAATGAATGCGGAGAATTCAGCCTCCGTCGACAACAAGTGGATGTAGCGGCAATGAACTCTTAAATGTTAGTTTCTAGTCTTTTGTTTTGCCTGAAACCTGTAACGTTTAGTGTGTTGCACTACAACAACATCAAGAAAATACAGAGGAGATACATGCCGTAAAACTTTGCACAATTTTGTGTCCTATGGCATTACATTATCAACACTACAGATAACAACACATATCCTTCTTTTTGCCGCCTTATGAATATGCGAACGGCAATATATCGCTATATGTCTGATAGGAGTCAATGATGAAGGCTATAGATAGGTACCGAGATGGAATATGTATATGTACGTATGTCGGTATGGAATCTTTAGTCTGCTCTGATGCTCTTTGGAGTGCATAATAAGATTTCTATCATTCACCTTCACTTCACATTACAGCAGCCATGCACACATACCGCAGGGCAGTAGCATGTTTTAGTTCCAGTTTTTTTTCTACTTCTTCTTCTTGTCATGCTGTTGTATACCATAACAGAACCCAATTTGTGTATATATCTGTAACATAACAACCCAAAAAACAAAATTGTTTTTATGATACTTACCCTATGGATTGTCTCCTCAAAACTATGTTGATGGCCACCATTTAGGGTTTGAAAGTGCCGTAAACGTTCGTTTGCCGCCTGCAAAGGGAAAAAGGGAGAGAGATAGAAACACCATTAGAAAACATTATACAAAAACAAAAATTGGAGTATGAGTAGAGCTATGGCAAAAATATGATAATATCATTATTTGTTATGCTATATATGCTTCCATAGTTAGTTAGCTACCCATCCAGCTAGCTAATGGAATTTTTCAGTTGAAAACATAAATGCATTTTCAGTAGAGCAAAACTGGAAAAAAGAAGGTATCTACAAAATCTATATCAATGTATGACCTTTAAAGAAGGACAAAAATGTCTTCAAGATGTGTGGTTTTATTCTTGAAAATCAGATATGGGGGGGTTTTCTACGGCAAGACATTGGAAATTATTTCCTCAAGTGTTAATTGAAAGTAGGATGACCTTTTATGAGATATTTTTACAAGTTTTAAAATAAAACATGTTATGAAAATTTTTGAAATAGTTAAAGACAAAAAATTAATTAAAATTTAGTTTACATACAATGAGGCGTATAATTGATATTAATTGAGAGAAAACCTTGGCGTATAAGCAACAAAAGGTGAGTAAATGTAAATACCACTTATTAATGGTATAAAGTAGTGCGCTGCAGTAGACTTTTTGAATTAACTCGTATGGCCTATAATAACCTTCAATGAAAAATTGAAGGTTATTATTGCCCCAATTGCCACAAAAATAAATTAAATTAGGTCACGTGATATGGAGCGTATTAGTGATAATAATTAATGGAACGCATAGGCGTATGAGTAACATAAGATGAGATTACATTGGTACGTTGGTGGCGTAGGGGATGATAGATACCAAGCAACGGCTCTGATTGGCTTTAACATGGCGAAGTCCAGGCTTATCTAGGTCCCTCTTTCATCTCTATTGTGCACCGCGGGGAGGTCAGTCCCCGCGGTGTCACCTGGTGAGCTATTTTCATCACCCGATGCAATAGTGAGCTAATATGTGCTGCGAGTTCACCCATAAGAACTATAAAAAAAATGGGTTGAGGCGGTGGGTTAGTTGCCCACACTCGGAAAACTCAACCTACTATGAAAAAGCAAAGAAAACGAAAACCACACCCCCCTAATGTTGATGACCCCAGCAAACGTATAAAGGACCACCATCCGCGAATCTGCACTTGGAATGTGCGCACGTTGTACAGAACAGGAAGAAGTACAAAGCCGATATTATTTCCTTACAGGAAATGCGATGGAAAGGGACAGGCGTAAGTAAATCTGACGATTACGCCCTGTATTATAACTGCCATGAAACGAGACATGAATTTGGCTGCGGATTTATGGTTAACAGGAGAATAAAAGACCTTGTCTCCAGATTCACTCCAGTAGATGAGCGAATTGCTATAATCCGCATAAAAGCGAAGTTCTTCTACATCAGTCTCATTTGCGCCCATGCTTCGATCTGCCCAAAAATGGGCAGACCAAAGACATATTTTACGTGCGCCTAGAAACAGCATACAATCGCTGCACTGGCCATGACATTAATATTCTGCTAGGAGATTTTAATGCAAAAATCGGAAGGGAAAATATATTTGGCCCCACCGTCGGAAAATTCAGCCTCCATGAAGAAATATCCGACAACGGCATGAGGTTGATTGACTTCGCGGCAGCAAAAAACATTGTAGTTAGCAGCACCAAATTCAAGCATCTCGATATACACAAGGACACCTGGATTTCTCCTGATCAAGCAACGAGAAATCAAATTGATCATGTTGTGATAGACGGAAGGCATTCATCCAGTGTTTAGATTGATCGATCTGAGGAACGCATATCGATTCGGACCTCTACCTTGTGGCAGACAAGGTACGCATCCGTCTTAATGTTGCAGCAAAGGTACGATCTAACACAACACGAAAACTCGACGTCGAAAAGCTGCAAACCAAAAAGGTTGCCGAGGCCTACTTCGCTCAACTTACCCACCTGCTTGACGAAAGTACTTCTTATCCCAATAATAGTATAGAAGCATAATGGGAAAAAATTGCCAACTATATACAAACTGCAGCAAAAGCAGCACTTGAGTACCAACATCCGCCATCAAGAAACCCATGGTAAGATCAGGAGTGTCTTAATGCTACTGATGTGAAAAATGCAGCGTATAGGGCAACCCTATAGGCAGTAGCAACACGCAGTGCGATGGAGAAAAGGAGAGAGGAGAAACTTATTTTCAAAAAAAAAAAAAAAAAAACAAAAAGAAGGAAGAACAAGAAAAACGTGAGAGTGAGCGTGAGCAAATCGAGATGTATAGGAGTCAGAATGAAGTCCGCAAATTTTACCAACGAGTAAAACACCAAACCGAAGGCTTTGGTGCATGCACATCTTCCTGTAGGGATAAAGAAGGAAACCTGGTGAGAGTTGCAGACAGCGTGTTGAGAATCTGGAAGAAGCATTTTGAAAAGCTTCTTGTATCCAATTGTGGCGGTGAAGAAGGTACCCAATAACCAATAAGAGATGATCGTAATAAAAGCAATTAATCGGCTGAAGAATAATAAATCAGCAGGAGCCGATGGGTTACCAGCCGAAATATTCAAGACTGGTGGTCAGATGCTGGTCAAGAGCATGCACCAGCTGTTTAGTACAATGTAGCTAGAGGAATGCATGCCCAATAATGGGAACCTCAAGAGCTAGAGAAGAGCTAGGGTAGAATAATATCCATTTTATATATTTTTTCTTTAATTTGCCCTGTCTTTTTAATTTAATTTTTATAGAGGCTAATTCTCGACAATTTTAAAGACATCAACGTCATTGTTAAAAAATTACCCTCCGAAATGTTCGCTAAAAACAAAACAAATCAATGCAGTGCATTTATTTTTATTTTAACATTTTAAGTGTCTTGTTGAAGTTGGAAGTTAGAATAAAATCGCCTCCAGATATATTTTCTATTAAATATCCAAAACCAGAACCTCTTAAATGCATTCTAAACAATTAAAAAAAATCATTTTCATTTCAGAAAAAGTCCACAAAAAATGTATGCAGCCTTAAGTGCCTATTCACATTATTCTGATTCCCTTTACGACGACAATAGTCGATCTAATTAAATTTTAAACTAAAGTAGGCACCCCTCCTCCTTCCGATTGAGGAAGCCATAATGAAACCTCTTTTGGGAAGATGAAAATAAAACCGAAAAAACGAATTCTTGCCACAATCTGAATATAAATTGCACTTCTTAAGTAAACTTTTGTTTGAAGCCAAAAAGAAGAGAAATTTTTCGATGAAAAAAAAAAAAGAAAAATGAAACTCGGCAATGCATTTTCATGCAACCACCAAACCCGGCAACCAGCCACTTCATGTCATCATGATTATCATCAACGTAATTAGATTGAAACAATTTGTAACCAAGTTTTTACTCCAAAAAGTCTGGAGGGTAATGCAGTAATACCAAACCAAGCATGGCAGCAGCCCCGTAGAAAGGAGTAGCAAATTTGCCAACAGCTTTGCCTGTGAGGCTGGCAGGCAGGCAAGTCAGCCATGCCATGACTGACATTCAACAATGACTGATGAAGGCAAATAAAAGGGAAATTTCATTGGCTGCCACCGATGGCATTTAACACGACAAGTAGTAACACAATGCGTGCTTTATCACCTGCCGGGAGATGGCAGGTTGGCTTGTTCCTTGTTTGTTCGATGCCTTAGTGACTGTCAGGAGTGAATGGATAAATGAATGGTGGCAAAAAATGCGTCATTGGTTACCCATCATCCATCCAGGTGGCATGGTGCCACAGACGATGACACAACGCTCTTGAAATAAAAGATAAGCCTTAACCTCTAATTAATTATGTCAAGTTTGGAGGGGGGTAAAAATATGAAAAACAGGAGATTGAAGGCAATAAAAAGGATTCAAAAAGGAGGATGCAAAAAAGTTCTCATGGTGGATACATCTTTCGGAAAAAAGTTCACACAATAGGGTTCCATGGTGGGACATTGCGTAGGGGAAATTTTTTGTTGCTGATGCAACAACGTTCAAAAGGCCACCAGCACACAAGGTGGTCGGTATGGGTGGTCCAAGGTGAAAGTAGGGGACAATAACAACAACAAAATTAATTGCTTACGGATATAAAAATATTTATTGTTTGAGATTGAGCATTTTTATTGTTGATGTGTGGTTGCCAGACCCCTGTCCTGAGGCTGGATGGCTGGTTGGCTACATTTGTAATCACTGGACCCCCACCTTCACCCCTCTCAGAATATTTGGCTTTTGTTGTAACAAACCATAAACAACAACAACAACAATTGCGTTTGGAATCCACGATAGCATTTCGTTTTTGTTGCTTTTGATTAAATTAACATTTTTTTGGTTTCAGGATTTTTGTGGTAAGGGTGCAGCAGCTACATCCCTCCCCCTCCCATTGGTAATAAAAAATATTTTGCAAGGCATAAAAAAGGTCATTGCTGGTTATCCATTTCCGAAAAAATGGAAATGGATATGGGCTTTAAGAACAAAATCTTTTGGGATGGCCTTTTATATTTTTTATTATTATTTAGAATATAACCATAACTTTAATATTCTCAGTAAATTTAGTGAAGCATCTTCTACAAAAACAACATCAGCAAGAATGGAACACAAATAATAAAAATTACAACAACAACAAACAAAAGAAACAATTTTGCAAATAATATAAATCTAAGAATCTTAGGAGGATTTTATTTTCAGAGTTTTTTTCCTTTCAAGGGATGGTGGTGGGGGTTAAAACCCAAACTTCCGTTGGCTTCGAACCCCAAACCAAAGGAAACTTCCGTTCTTCTTTTGAGCGAGTTTGAGTAAATATACTGGCGCAGGCATTAGATTCTTCCGCATATATTGTATGTAATGGAATATTAAAAGCTTTCTTTGTTACAACAAAATAAAAAAATATTTGGAAATATACGAGGGGAGGATGCTACAAAAAAAGAGGCACATTTCAGGGAAGCGTTACAACTTCATTAGAAATGGCTACCAAATCGAATTCATATACAAGGATTTAAAAAAAATTTCAAGGACCAACACAAGGCGTGGATTTTTCAAAGACATATTTTTCAAGGACTCAACCAAAGACGTGGATTTTTTAAAGACATATTTTTCAAAGACTCAACCAAAGATTTTTTAAAGACATATTTTTCAAGGACCAACACAAGGCGTGGATTTTTTAAAGACATATTTTTTTAGGGCTCAGCCAAAGGCGTGGATTTTTTAAAGACATATTTTTCAAGGACTCAACCAAAGGCGTAGATTTTTTAAAGACATATTTTTCAAGGACTCAACCAAAGGCGTGGATTTTTTAAAAACATATTTTTCAAGGACCATCCAACAAGGCGTGGATTTTTTAAAGACATATTTTTGAAGTACTCAACCAAAGGCGTGGATTTCTTAAAGACATATTTTTGAAGGACTCAACCAAAGGCGTGGATTTTTTAAAGACATCTTTTTCAAGGACTCAACCAAAGGCGTGGATTTTTTAAAGACATTTTTTTCAAGGACTCAACCAAAGGCGTGGATTTTTTAAAGACATTTTTTCAAGGACTAAACCAAAGGCGTGGATTTTTTAAAGAATTTTTTTTTAAGGACTAAACCAAAGGCGTGGATTTTTTAAAGACATTTTTTTCAAGGACTAAACCAAAGGCGTGGATTTTTTAAAGACATTTTTTTCAAGGACTAAACCAAAGGCGTGGATTTTTTAAAGACATTTTTTTCAAGGACTAAACCAAAGGCGTGGATTTTTTAAAGACATGTTTTTCAAGGACTAAACCAAAGGCGTGAATTTTTTAAAGACATTTTTTTCAAGGACTAAACCAAAGGCGTGGATTTTTTAAAGACATTTTTTTCAAGGACTAAACCAAAGGCGTGGATTTTTTAAAGACATTTTTTTCAAGGACTAAACCAAAGGCGTGGATTTTTTAAAGACATTTTTTTCAAGGACTAAACCAAATACGTGGATTTTTTAAAGACATTTTTTTCAAGGACTAAACCAAAGGCGTGGATTTTTTTAAGACATTTTTTTCAAGGACTAAACCAAAGGCGTGGATTTTTTAAAGACATTTTTTTTCAAGGACTCAACCATAATTTGTAAACACGATACAGGCCACGGTTATGGACCAATCTTCACGAAATTCTGCATGTAGGATGGGTTCTGGCCAATGAAGACCCCTATTGTTTTTGGTAAAGATCGGTTAATATTTAGGGGATGCAATGGACCAAATACTTAATTTTTCTCCAGAGGCCGCAATTATGGCTCGAAAATCGTGAAATTTTACACGGAGAAGGGGATCGGGTCAAAAAATAAGCATGCCTGTTTTGATAAGGATTGGGCATTATTTAGCGGGTCAAATGGACCCTAACTTTTGTGTGAAAAATTATAAAATTTGTATTCTATGGCATATATATTTACCCCTGAAGAACATAGACCGATAAGTTTATATTATATCCAAGAAGAGTGGTTGACCTTCAAATTGATACGAATTATATTGTCGCATGTACTCTGATGAGGGAGTTACACTCAAATATTTACTGGTGCTTACGTATTGAGATATTATTTAGTAACCCATTATCACATTAGATGACGGAAATATATCGATGACCGCTTGGAAATGTTCCTTGATGTTCCAGTTATGTTCAAAGACAATGCCTATAATTTTCGGTGATGATCAGATAAAAATGTTGGGATGAAGTGGACCGAAAACACAACGAATTGCCACAATTATAAGCCGAACATTACAACACAACCCACGGTGAAGGGAATCTGGACAAGTATTAGTAATATTCGGAAAAAATGTCAGTGTAAGGAAGACCTAATCGGGCAAGAGGAAATATTTCCCAGGCTCGGAATAAAAATCCGCAAAAAGTTAGAGTTTCGTGGTAGTTGTGTTGGGTATCGCATGGTCGGCCCGGTCCGACTATACTGCTCCGGTCACTGGTTTATAAATTATTTTTCGAGGTCTTTACAAAGGCGTGGACTTTTTAAAAATTATTTTTCATGGTCTGGTTTTAAGATTTAAATTTCTTACTGTATAATTTTAAACGATTCCCAAAAAAGTCTTTAATCACTTTACAAAATGAAAATTGAATATTTTCTCTAAACGAAAAAAAAAGAAAGTAATAAAATAATACCCATAAAACAATACCCTCCAGACAGACCTCACATAGAAGAGAAAATTTAATCCCCTTAGCCACCCAAGGGGTACAAAATCTACCCCCAATCCCTTTAAACTCCATTTCATTTATTTACACATCCATTTACACACATGTCTAAAAGTTTGCATACCAACGATGTTGTTGTTGTTGGTTGGTTCCACGGTTCGCTGGCTGGTTGGTTGTTTGGTTTAATTTTCGCCAAAAAACACAAGAAAAGAAAATGAATTTACTGATGTTATTATTCTCGTTACTTCTTATTTTAGTGTTGTTGTTGAATTTTTTCTCGTTCGTTAAAAGACAGTAAAAAAGTCCTTTTCAGCACATAAAGAAAATTGTCTCGCAAAAAAAAACAGAAAGGAAAAGTTTGCGAAAAAATAAAATAAACGAAATTGTTCTTTACAGTTTATAGACAGATACAGCAGAGCTGTTTGGCATTTTTTGTGCTCCAGCGGACTTTGCATTTATTTATGTGAAACAAATTTTTTGGAGCTGCTAACATCATAACGCCAATATCAAACAATACCAACCCCCAACCAACTCAACCATCCCGCCATCCATGACCCCCGAACCTCGATTGGTAAAAATTTTAGTGAAATATATATGTTGCAGACATGTGTGGTGGAGGGAGAGGGGTGGGGTTCAATATTTACTTGTCTGCTAAATATTAAAACTTTGTTTCTTGTTGTGTTGCTCGACAAACAATAACAACAAGGACACAAATGTTATAACTTGCAAAAAATAACAGTAACTTCTATACCACACACACACTCACATACCCAAACAACATTCGAGTATGTAAATATTTAAAATATTTTATGATAATCGTTTGATATTCGGATGATTTAGTGTTACTGTCTGATTATGTAAAAACGCGAACATATGTAAAATTTATGTTTTGTTTGGAAAGGCATGACGCGGGTTTAATACATATAAGTGTGGTAGTAACTTGATGCATAAAACACTAACAACAACACATTAGTTGTAGTTGTAAAAAGGATAGGGCTACGTCATAACTCAGTGACATCGTCAAATGGTCCAAAGACTATGAAAAATAATTTTTAAAAAATCCACGCTTTTGTAAGGTCTATGAAAAATATTTTAAAAACAGTAAGGAAAGTAGTAAAGTCGGACGGGGCCGACTATTTGATACCATTCACCACTTTAGGTATATTCAACAGAGGGAATCCTAACAGACGTCCCATTTTTGAAGGACCATTAACATAAAATTAAACTTACTAATTAAATTTACAATCTATACTAAATTTTAGTCAGATATAGAGTTGCTTCTTAGAATGGGACAAAATTATGTAAATAAATTTAAAGCAAAATATCGAAATCTAAACCGATTTCATATAAACTTGTCACATGTTAGGTCACACTTATTTAAGTATGTTTTGTGCATTCGGACACATTTTGAGTTCTTCATTTATTTATAAGTACACATTTCGTGCAAATCGAAGGATTTATAGGGTCTTTAGTGTACATACATAGGGTCTTTAGTACATAAAATCGGACGAAAATATATACGGGAGCTATATCTAAATCTGAACCGATTTTCTTGAAACTTAACACACGTGCACAATTTTCGTAAAATATGACGAAATTATATACGGGGGCTATATCTAAATCTGAACCGATTTTTACGAAACTTAGCATACATCATTCTGGATCTAATTCAGTACCCTATGCTAAATTTCGTGTAAATCGAAAGACATATATGGACTTCGATGCCCGACTTACCTTAAATCGGACGAAAATATATATGGGAGCTATATCTTAATCTGACCCAATTTTTTCGAAAATTGACACACATCATTCAAGACTCAATTCAGTACCCTATGCGAAATTTCGTCCAAATCGAAAGATATATAGGGACGTTGGTGCACCATTTACATAAAATCGGACGAAAATATATATGGGAGCTATATCTAAATCTGAACAAAATTTAGCACACATCATTCTGGATCTAATTTAGTACCCTATGCTAAATTTCGTGTAAATCGAATGACATATATGGACTTTGGTGCCCGATTTACCTTAAATCGCACGAAAATATTTATGGGAGCTATATCTTAATCTGACCCGATTTTTTCGAAACTTGACACCCATCATTCAAGACTCAATTCAGTACCCTATGCAAAATTTCGTGCAAATCGAAAGATATATTAGGACTTTGGTGCACTATTTACATAAAATCGGACGAAACTATATACGAGAGCTATATCTAAATCTGAACCAATTTTTACGAAACTTATTACACATCATTCTGGGCCTAATTCAGTATCCTATGGCAAATTTCGTGTAAATCGAAAGACATATATGGACTTTGGTGTCCGATTTACCTTACATCTGAAGAAAATATATATGGGAGCTATATCCTAATCTGACCCGATTTTGTCGAAACTTGACACACATCATTCAAGACTCAATTCAGTACCCTATGCAAAATTTCGTGCAAATCGAAAGATATATAGGGACTTTGGTGCACTATATATCTTTCGATTTGCACGAAATCTTGCATAGGGTACCATTTACATAAAATCGGACAAAATATATACGGACAGACGGACGGACGGACATGCATAAATCGGCTTAAAAAGTGATTCTATGCATATTCTCAAAAGGAACCATGTGTCTATCTCGTTTCTTTTTGCCTGTTACAAACATATGCACAAAGACATAATACCCTGTACCAAAGTGTGGTGAAGGGTATAAAAATCGACGTCTTAGGATGGGTCCTTAAAAAATATATTTTTATGCGTGCTTAAACAATATTAAATTCTTATTTTTTTCTATCTATAAAATATTATTTTTACTTACTCTGACTTGGGCTTGAGCTGCTGTATTTTGATGGCTGGCACGATCTCGACGATTGACGGTCTTTAATCCTTTCAGTAAACGGGCTAATGTTGTGCGTTTTTTAGTTTCACGACCCTCTGGAAAAAAAATCATGAAAATGAAAAGAAGAAATACAACAAGAACAACAATTATATTAACAAGAAAATTACAGAAGAACATCTTAACGAACATACATATCCGCATTCAATACATCACTCTCCCATAGAAAAAAATCAATCTACAAATTCCGGATTATTAGTTTCGTTATGTCCTTAGACACACATACACACTCGTTCATCAAGTGATTTGCTTCAATGCCTTTTGATATTTGACTTGGATATAAAAAAAATAAGTTTTGTTTGAATCCCCCACCCCAAATAATTTCTCTGTGTTCTCTTTCAATTTTTGTTTGACTGCAGTGTGACATCATTACGATATTCTTTTTGATTTCTGAGTTGGATTTTTTGGTTCCTTTTTCCTCAGGCACTATTGATTGGGGACCATTTATCTCTGGCTGTTTTTTTTTTAGTTTCTTGGAAATTTTTATATTTTTCAAAGAAAACTAGCAAAAAGGGTGGCTGCCGATTTTTGATTTGATGTCAATTTGGCAAAAAACGCAAAGTCTATAGATTCTGTGTTGCAGACATCAACATCTTCAGCACTTCACTATGACATTTGATATTTGAACAAGGCCACCACCAACAACAAAAAAGGAATAACACTTGAATTTTTAGGACACGCAATAATAAAGGATTTCCAAATTCAAATACTCGGATAAGGAAGGTCATTTGCAGAATTTATTTTTGTCGGCAGATTTGTTTGTTTGTTAACCAAGAGGCGATAACAACCAACAAGGATAATATTGTCCTCCTAGTGTGTGTGTTATGATAGTGACGTGATGGTGGTATTGATGTTAGTTGAAGTGTGTAAATATTTGACATTTCAATATTTTATGGCCAAACCTGTTTACAAAATAAATTGTTGGATAACAAACTACTTGAAATAGAAATGAAAATCCTCAATGACACTTTTTCAATCCCCAGAAAAATAAATATACACCAAAGGATATCAATAAAATAACTGCAGTTGACACAGGGCTCTTAGGAAGAACAAAAAATAGCTAAACAAAATTTTTCTTATTGGTAACCCTTGAAAAAATTATCGTGGCCTTCCCCTTCTACGGGAACTATCAGTAGGCTCGCTTTGAGCTGGGGCATTCTCATTCATTCGCAGAACATGACATAGCCATCGTAGTCGCCGCAGCTCAATACAATATTCAATACCTCGAATCTGTAGTTCTCAAGTTCCACAGTTTGTCCGAGTATACTGAACGTCTTGCACTTTGATACCATCAGCTTGGTCTTCTCGCCGTTTACTGCCAGACCCACTTTGGCAGACTCCTTTTCAATTTGATCAAAGGCGGCTGTTACCGCACGCTATGATCGACCCATTATATCGATGTCATCGGCGTAGGCGAGTAACATGTGTTGTTTGGTGTACAGAGTGCCATTTCTGTTCACCTTTGCGTCTCGTATGACCTTTTCCAGCACGATGTTAAAAAGGTCACATGACAAACTGTCACCTTGTCTGAATCCTCGTTCGGTATTAAAGAGCTACGAGAGGTCCTTTCCGACTTTAACTGCTGATCTTGTGCCACTTAAAGTTGTCCTGCATAGCCGTATTCATTTTGCAGGAATGCTGAACGTAGACATGACTTTAAATACCTCTGAACGGATAGGTCTGTCGAATGCGGTTTTATAGTCGACGAATAAGTGATATGTGTCGATGTGTTTTTTGTGGGTCTTTTCCAGGATTTGGCGCAGAGCGAAAATCTGGTCAATGGTGGATTTGCCAGGTCTGAAGCCGCATAGGTATAGCCCAATAATGTCATTGAACATTGTCTTCAATCGTTCACACAGCACACTGGATAACACTTTATATGCGATGGGAAGAAGGCTAATTCCTCTATAGTTGGCACATATTGTCTTGTCTCCTTTTTTGTACACGGGAAACAAGATGCTGAGTTTCCAATCCTTGGTCATGCATTCTTCTAGCCAAATTGTACCAAACAGCTGGTGCATGCTCCTGACCAGCATCTGACCACCAGTCTTAAATAGTTCGGCTGGTAACCTGTCGTCTCCTGCTGCTTTATTGTTCTTGAGCCGATTAATTGCAGGTTCCTTTTTCATCTCTGCAGGAGGATGTGCGTGCACCAAATCCTTCAGTTTGGCGTTTTACTCGTTGGTAAAATTTCCGGACTTCATTCTGACTCCTGTATATCTCGATTTGCTCACGATCACGATTTTCATGTTCTTTCTTCTTTTTTCTGAAAACACGTTTCTCCTCTCTCTTTTTCTCCCGATAATTCTCCATCATATCACATTTCACATCAGTAGCATTACGAGACTACTGATCGCACCATGGGTTTCTTGTTGGTGGTTTTTGGTACCCAAGTGTTGCTTTTGCTATTATCGGGACAAGAAGTGGTTTCGTCAAGCAGGTGGGTAATTTGAGCGGAGTAGGCCTCGGCTACCTGTTGCAACTTTTCGACGTCGAGTTTCCGTGTTGTATTAGATCTTTAAAAAATCCAAGCCATTGGTTGAGTCCTTGAAAAATATGTCTTTAAAAAATCCAAGCCTTTGGTTGAGTCCATGAAAAATATGTCTTTAAAAATTCACCCCTTGTTGGATGGTCCTTGAAAAATATGTCTTTAAAATATCCACGCCTTTGGTTGAGGGTTGGTCCTTGAAAAATATGTCTTTAAAAAATCAACGCCTTTGGTTGAGTCCTTGAAAAATATGGCTTTAAAAAATCCACGCCTTTGGATGAGTCCTTGAAAAATATGTCTTTAAAAAATCCACGCATTTGGTTGAGTTCTTGAAAATATGTCTTTAAAAATTCCTCCCCTTTGGTTGAGTCCTTGAAAAATGTGTGTTTAAAAAATCAACGCCTTTTGTTGAGTCCTTGAAAAATATGTCTTTAAAAAATCCACGCCTTGGTTTGAGCCGTTGAAAAATATGTCCTTAAAAAACAACGCCTTTGGTTGAGTCCTTGCAAAATATGTCTTTAAAAAATCCACGCCTTTGGTTGAGCCCTTGAAAATTGGTGTGTCCTTTGAAGTATATCCTGTGAGTTATCCTTCCTCTTTACCAAAATTCCATTACCATGTTAATAAGATTTTAGTTGACCATATGTTGCATTCAATTAACCTAAACGAATTATTAACGAACACTAATGACTTCTAACCCATTTAAATAACTTTCCTCTTCAAATACCTCCCGCCCGACCCTGGTTGACCCCCCTAGGGGTAGTAACCTTACATTTGTCTAAATGAATTATGTATCTGCAGTTCGATAACTTTGCATTCGAACTTCCGATTTGTTATGGTTAGCAACCTCTCCCTCCCCCAGCTTTCCATTAATTCGTGAGTGCTAATGGCCATAACGATATGAGAGAAGACATTAAGGTAGGTAGTTAACACATTTACATACATACATCCATATGTCGTATTTAGCAGAGCTGGAGCATAAGTATAAATAAGCAAATTACTTAACGGGTTTCCGGTAAAATCAATTTAAAGCGGAAGCTTTTATAACTTTGGTAGCGATGATGGTCTCTCGAGAGAAGGGTTGGTTGCACATTAACTGGTAGTAGAAGAGGTCGCATTTAGAGGGGAGGCGGTTGAAGAAAATGGAAAATGGTTACTTAGTGATTTGTCACCCTTTTTTTTGCCACGAAAAAAATTCTAAACATTAAAACAGGAAGCTTTTAAGCTCCCCCAAACTTTTTGCATTTTTTGAAAAAGGACTCATCGTAAAAAAATACTCAGGGTGTCATTAAAAACACATTGTCCGGAAAATCTGATTTTATAGGTTTTTGGTTGAGGCTTAAAACAAATTTTAACCACTTTTTTATTATTTATTGAAAGTCTATGTGGGTTGAGTGATGTACTGAATAAAATGTATCGAAGAAGAAGAAATATGTTTAATGATTTTTAAGGATTTATGGGATTTTTCGGTCGTCCCGTCCTTCATTTTGACAATTGAAAAAATAATAAAATTTCAAAACTTACCCGTCGTTGGTGGAAATTCATAAAAATAAGCTGAGCGAGGACTTAGGCAACTGTAAAAAAAATAATAAATTTTTATTAAAATTGATTGTTTTCACTTTTATTAATAACAACAACAAAAGAGAAAACAATAATAACAAAAATGTGTTTTTTATCACCAACTTACTTTTGTTGTACAAAATTCAAATGAGCAGCATTGGGCGGGATCGATTGTAAACTTTGTGGATGGCGTTGCTGTAATTGATGACCACCGCCACCACCTTGCATTAATGACAGTTGTTGTTGCTGCTGCTGGTTGATTTGTGCCTGCTGCTGCAGCGTTTGTTGTTGTATAAAATGTTGCTGTTGCGTTAAGGTGCCACGACCAACACGTGGTGCAAACACGCCGTAGCCGAAACCATAAATTTCATCTTCTTCCTTGTCCGATAGGCAACTGGAGGGCTGTGGAGGAAATAGGAGTAAGAAAAAAGAAATAATATATTATTATGTGGAAATTGGGGAATGAGTGAGAAGAAATATTAAGAAAGCGGTGTGTGAGGAGGGAAAAAGAAACAGTGGAGAGGAAGGATGGAGACTGAAATGGAAATTATATCGTGAAAAGGACATGGAATGACCACAGGTTTTATCGTTTCGCCTTGAAAATAAATAATAATATAAAAAACACTAAGGAAAGTAGTAAAGTCGGACTGCGCCGACTATATGATACCCTTCACCACTTTGGGTATATTGTGCATATGTATCTTTACATTTGCATGGCAATGTTCCCTCGAAGGAACACACGCATGTCTTTCTGCAACCTATAATAAATTTAATTTCATTCGGGCAGATTCGGATAGAGTCGTCTGCGTACCATGGGACAAATTTATAGAAAACCTTTTATAGCTAAATTGATACACGCTATTCCGTACGCCGCACTGTTAAAAGTGTAATTTCAATCAGACAATTTACCTACGCAATTTACCTAAAATCGGACGAAAATATAAATGGGAGTTATATCTAAATCAGAACCGATTTTCACTAAACTTAACACACATCACTATAGACTTAATTCAGTACGCTATGCCAAATTTCGTGCACATCGAAAAATATATAGGTTCTTTAGTTCATCATTTACCTTAAATCGGACGAAAATATATATGGGAGCTATATCTAAATCTGAACCGATTTTTCCCAATTTTAATAGGATTCGTCCTTGGGCCGAATAAGTGACCTGGGCCAAATTTCATCCAATTCGGATCATAAATGCGACCTGTACTTTGTTTACAATTTAACATGGACAGACAGACCGACGGACGGACGGACGGACGGACATGCATAAATCGACTTAGAAAGTGATTCTATGCATATTCTCAAATACCCTGTACCACAGTGTAGTGAAGGGTATAATAATAAGTAAAAAATATTTCGAAAAAAAAACTTTGAAAAATATTAGGAAACCAGTTAGCTGACCAGTATAGTCGGACGGGGCCGACCATATGATACCCTACACAACATCCACGAAAATCTAACTTTTTGTGGTTCTATATTTGCACTCTTTGGACCTTCAACGTGGGTTGTGTTGTTATGTTCGGCAATCAATTGTGGCCTATAGATCGACTCGAAAAAAAAATTATAGGTGCTGTCCTTGACCACAACTGGAACCTCCTGAAACATTTCAAAGCGATCTAGGTTGGTAATGGGTTAATAATTAGTATTTGAATACGTAAGCACCGGGTACATACGACAATAATATTTGTATCAATTTAAAGATTAACCACTCCTCTTGGATGTACTATCAACTTCTCGGCTCTTTGTCCTTCAGGAGTAAATCTATACGCCATATAATACAAATTTTGACATTTTTCACACAATAGTCAGGGTCCATTTGACCCGCTAAATATTGACCGATCTGTATCAAAACAGGCAAACTTATCCTTTGGCCCAATCCTCTTCACCATGTAAAAATTCGCGATGTTTGGGCCATAATTGCGACCTCTGGAGCGACCAGAAAATCAAAAAAAAATAATAAATTAAAGTGTTTGGTCCATTTCATCCCCTGAATATTAACCGATCTTTACCAAAAACAATAGGGGTCGTCATTGGCCAGAACCGTTCCTACATGCAAAATTTCTTGAAGATTGGTCCATAACTGTGGCCAGTATCGTGTTAACAAATTATAATGGACAGACGGATGGGCACACATGTCTAGATCGACTCAGCTAGCGGATATAGGACGTTAGGTATACTTAAAGGTGGGTCTAGGACCAATATTTTCCGGCGTTACAAACTCTTGGGGCTGCACAAAGCTATAATACCCTGAGAACATAGTTGTGTAGGGTATAAAAATCGAGAAGTATGGTAGTGCTTGAAAAATATTTTTAAAAAATCCAAGCCTATTCCCACTTTCCCCCACTTTGGTCCTTATAAAAATATTGTTTTACCATTTTTTCCAGGATTTATATATTTTTAATGAAATCCTTAAAAGATGTCTTTCCAAAAATATCCCGAATTTAAAATAATGTGAAGAGAAAAAATAAAACGACAACCATAACCATGAAATAGATTAAGTCGAAAAAATTAGTTTTCTTTGAGGCGAGACCTCTATAATCATAATTCATGGTCAAGTTAAACGCCACTTAAATATGCTGAATAAGGAAAAAACAGCAACAACAAAAAATGAAACCAAAATCTAAAAGAAAGTAAATGGAAAAAATAATAAAAAAAACCAAAAACAAAAAAAAAAACAAAAATCATAATAATAACCGTAAAGGACTTCGTACTTCATAATGAAGGACATGCAACATGTTTGGTCGACTGGCTGGCTAGCTGCCCAGCTAGATGGTGTGTATCCTTAAGGCAAAATTTGTTGGTGGTGTTGAAGAAAACTTAACTAGCCAGCAACAAACTCTTCACCTTCTTCTTCAGTGGCAGTAGTAGTTGTAGTACAACACTTAACACAAAAGTACAACAACAAAAGGACAATAAAATAAGAGAGAAAACAAAATTAAAAAAAATGAAAACGAAAACATTGAAATGAAAGGGAAAAGACAAAAGGAAGCCTCACAAAAAAGAATGAACATGAACATTTAATTTTTGTTAATTTTTCTAAAGGTTAACGTTTAGGTCGCAACAAAAAAGTTTCCGCCGCTACTTCGACTTGTTCTTCGTCGGCGTTTTTATTTTTATTTTCCTATTCATTTATTTGTAGTTAAGTTTTTGTTTGGCAGCAACAAAAAATTGCTTTTACAAGTGGCTTCTTTGACTCAACACCTTGGGGCATAATAATAAGGATACAAAACACCAAACGACCACACACACCAATACACCATCTCAAGCAGGCTCTGCCGCCATCACCCCAGAATGAGATCTTCACACCCTGGCCTTCTAAGAACTAAATAAATGGCCAAGTTAACAACGTTGTCAAACTTTTGTTAAGTAGCATTAATTTCAAGAGACTACTTGAGGAGGCCACCACAACAAAAACAACAACAACGAACCCTCAGACACACACACACATCATCCTGACTGACTGGTCGGGCTACTTCAAAATACTACTTAACTTGACACAGCCATTAAACACAAAACTCAGAGAAAATTATTTAAGGAATTGCGCCACAAGAAAGCCAACTAGAAACTGCCTAAAAAAGCAAAGGCAAAAAACCGGAGGAATCACCTCGGAATAAAGCAAGGAAGAAAAAAACACCGAACAAAACAAACAACACGTATAATTTGTTCATAACAAAACAAAAAAGTTTCTAATAAAATAAATCCACTGCGGGATGGATATATGCAGAGGATCAACCCACCCCCTACCAACCTCCTCCATCCACTCCTCCCCTCTACCCTGACAAGTCATAACATTTCGAATTATAACTTTAAACAAAGTTATTTTCTGACAAACCAACAGCAAATGGAGCCATATTACAAAAAAAAAAAAACAAAAAAGCCAACAACAACAATAATAATAAAAAACTTCTTAACACAATAACAACAACAACAAAACACAAACAACTTGGGTCGAAATGTCAACTGCAAACGCGACCACATAACAAATACGAAAAAATTCCGTAAAATGGATTTTTTACTTGGCCCAATCAAATGTTAATCAAAAGCAGTCCCCACCCCTGGAGAAATCCTAAGGGAGAGGTAGGAGGTAAGGTAATAATTTTCACCGCTTAACATTGGTTAGGCTTGTAATGACCATTGCGGAACATTATAGGAATGACCATGAACAACAAAACTTTGGTCATTCCAGAAAAAAAATATGTTGCGAAGTTTTTTTTTTGAGGAACTGAGAGGCAATTGACGACCGGTCACATTGAGGTCCTAACTACAAAAAAAATCATTTTGATGTGAGGAGTTTTCTACACTCCTTTATGTTGGCAATTTATGGCTTAATTATTGGCTCCTAATAGAAGTTAGGAAAAAAGTAATTGGGAATAAATAACTCTGGCTCTAGAAGGAAAAGGAAAGAGAGATATCAAAGGGAGAATTGGCTTTAAGGATTATCTGAAAATGTGGATTTAGACATATTTTCAAGGACCAACCCCAAGGCGTGAATGTTTTAAGACATTTTTTTCAAGGACTCAACCAAAGGCGTACATTTTTAAAGACATATTTTTCAAGGACTCAACCAAAGGCGTGGATTTTTCCATGACATATTTTTCAAGGATTCAACCAAAGGCTTGGATTTTTTAAAGACATATTTTTCAAGGACTCAGCCAAATGCGTGGATTTTTTAAAGAAATATTATTCAAGGACTCAGCCAAAGGCGTGGATTTTTTAAAGAAATATTCTTCAAGGACTCAGCCAAAGGCGTGGACTTTTTTAAAGAAATATTTTTCAAGGACTCAGCCAATGGCGTGGATTTTTTAAAGAAATATTTTTCAAGGACTCAGCCAAAGGCGTGGATTTTTTAAAGAAATATTCTTCAAGGACTCAGCCAAAGGCGTGGATTTTTTAAAGAAATATTCTTCAAAGACTCAGCCAAAGGCGTGGATTTTTTAAAGAAATATTCTTCAAGGACTCAGCCAAAGGCGTGGATTTTTTAAAGAAACAATTTTCAAGGATTTTTTAAAGAAATATTTTTCAAGGTTTTACCGAAGGCGTGGATTTTTTAAGGACATATTTTTCAAGGTTTTGCCGAAGGCGTGGATTTTTTGAAGAAATATTTTTCTAGGATTAATGGACCTATGGATATATTTTTATACCCTACACAACTATGTTGTCAGGGTATTATAGCTTTGTGCAGCGAAATATTGGTCCTAGACCCACCTTTAAGTATACCGATCGTCATATCTCGACTAGCTGAGTCGATCTAGACATGTGTGTCCGTCCTTTCGTCTGTCCATTATATTTTGTAAACACGATACAGCCCACAGTTATGGACCAATCTCCACGAAATTTTGCATGTAGGATGGGTTCGGCCCAATGAAGATCCCTATTGTTTTTGGAAAACTTCGGTTAATATTTAGGCGATGAAATGGACCAAAAACTTTATTTTTGTCGGTTTTTCTGGTTGCTCCAGAGGCCGCAATTATGGCCCAAACACCGCGAGTTTTTGCAAGGAGAAGGGGATCGGGCCAGAGAATAACCATGCCTGTTTTGATAAAGATCGGTCAATATTTAGCGGGTCAAATGGACCCTGACTTTTGTGTGAAAAATTATAAAATTTGTATTCTATGGCGTATGTATTTACTCCTGAAGGACATAGACCCTAAAATTTGATGGCATATTCAAGAGGAGTGGTTGACCTTTAAATTGATACCAATTATATGGTCGAATGTACTCAGATGTGGGAGTTACACTTAAATATTTACAAGTGCTTACGTACTGAGATATTATTTAGTAACCAATTACCACACTGGAGGGCGAAAATATAGCGTTGATCGGTTTGAAACTTTTCATGAGGGTCCAGGAATGGTGAAGGACAACGCCTATAATTTTCGGTGATGATCAGATAATAATTTTGGGATGATGTGGACGAAAACTTTAATTTTTGTGTGTTTTTCGAGTCGATCTGTTGGCAAAAATTATAAGCCGAACATCTCAACTCAACCCACGGCGAAAGGAATCTGGACAAGTAATTAGAGGGGCTGTACTGGATATTAGTAATATTCGTAATATATGTCTGTGGAAGGAAGCGTTGCTGTTGACCTCTAATCGGGCAATAGGGTGCAAATATTGCCCAGAATAAACATTCGCAGAAAGTTTGAGTTCCGTGGAAGTTGTGTAGGGTATCGTATCACTGGTTTTCTCTATATCCTAACTTATTATTTTTTCATGTTTTATTCCTGTCCTCAAATTTCCTTTGAGATTTAGTTGGGAATTCATTTTCTTGTGTCTTTAATTGTCACTGTCAGAAAAAAAAATTTCAGACAATTTTATTTGCCACCTTTGTACAAATATTATATTTGTTTAGAAATTTGTATGTACATGATGTTTAAGCCAAAGTGAAAGGACACTTATGTGCCAAAGAAGGAATATTTGATGATATTCACACATGTCTACGGGAACTTCATTCTCATCACCGTCATCCTTTTCTTGTGAATATTTGCTTGGGGACAGAAAATGAAAAAAGAGAAAAAACCAAAATAAAAATACAAGCCTTTTTGTAACTCAAACGTAATACCCGAGAATTTAGAGGAAGATATGTAGGACAGTGGAACCTTGTTAGAGACTAGATAATCAAAAAACGAGTAGTGGGTTTTCAAAATTTAGGAAAACACAAATTTTATTTATTTGAAGTCATGCCCAAAAGATTTCCTAGTTGGTTTCCAATGGCCTTGAGGTTCCACTGTATGTATATCGGTAGTCATGTGTGGGTGTTCATTTTCCCTCTTTTGGGACTAAGAAGTATTTCGTGTTTGAGTTTTGAAGTTTAGTTAGGTTGGTGTCGTTGTTTTTTATTGCCAAGTCAAGTTGTGTAGCCTCAACTTGAAAAAAAACGAAGAGGAGAAAACAATTTGCTTGTTTTGCATTAAAATGCAGCCAAACAACAACAACAACACTGCTCAAAGGTGGAAGATGGAACCAAAAAGGACACATTTCACAAGACTCTCACACACACATATTCCCTCTGTACTACACATTGCCTGCTGATAACAAGAGAAAAGGAAACCAACTAGAAATGGCTCAAGCTCCCCCATACATGTATCGTCTATCTTCTTCATATGCCGGAACATGGTTCCCCCCGTATTTTGTTTATGGTTAGGAATTACAAAGACCCTCAATGCATGGCAAGGCAAAGGTAAGAAATGCAAGAAATTGAAGAAGTGTTTATTTTTATTTTTGTTGTTTTTTCAAGTCTTTGGCGTTTTGTTCCTGCTTAGTCTGTCAGCTGATTGTAGTCAGTCAGTTAGTCGCTTAGTACTGTCTTCTTCTATGGCAAAACTCAGGATGATAGAAGATAATCCCCTAAAGGGCATGTCAACACTAGACCCACACACACACGTTGGATATCACCAGCCAACGTCATTGCCTTTCGTACTCTACATATTCCTAGGTATGCTGCCATGGCCGCCTGTGTTCGGCAAACGTTAAACAAAGTCAAAGTTATTGTTCGCTGGAGTTCCATTCCTATTCGGTTGGATGTTTATTTTTCATTCTTTGGTTTTTCTTTTTGGTACATTCTTTTGAGGCATCCTGGGAATTGTTAACGGAACCAGAAAACCCAAGCTACAAATAAGTTCGCAATCCCCACAAAAAAGGAAACAAATCGAAACAAGATGTGTATGTTCGGTTCATACATGTGGAAGAGATGACTGCTAAATAAATGTTGTCGTAACCTGAAGAAAAACGAGGAAGGCGGATGTCGAACCAAGAAGGTGTTCCATTTGAAATAAATATAGAATCTTCTTTTCGAATTTGTTTAACCGATTTGGTGTTAGGGAGAGGATTAGGGAAAATTGGAAAATATCGTAATTGGAAGAGTTATACCATATCTCCCATAGGGTAAAAAATAATATAAAAACAAACCGCGCTTTTGAATCCAAGCCTTGAAAAATAATTTTTAAAAAATCCACGCCTTTGAATCCAAGCCTTGAAAAATAATTTTTAAAAAATCCACGCCTTTGTATCCAAGCCTTGCAAAATAATTTTTAAAAAATCCACGCCTTTGAATCCAAGCCTTGAAAAATAATTTAAAAAAAATCCACGCCTTTGAATCCAAGCCTTGAAAAATAATTTTAAAAATATCCAGGCCTTTGAATCCAAGCCTTGAAAAATAATTTTTAAAAAATCCACGCCTTTGAATCCAAGCCTTGAAAAATAATTTTTAATAAATCCACGCCTTTGAATCCAAGCCTTGAAAAATAATTTTTAAAAAATTCACGCCTTTGAATCCAAGCCTTGAAAAATAATTTTTAAAAAATCCACGCCTTTGAATCCAAGCCTTGAAAAATAATTTTTAAAAAATCCACGCCTTTGAATCCAAGCCTTGAAAAATAATTTTTAAAAAATCCACGCCTTTGAATCCAAGCCTTGAAAAATAATTTTTAAAAAATCCACGCCTTTGAATCCAAGCCTTGAAAAATAATTTTTAAAAAATCCACGCCTTTGAATCCAAGCCTTGAAAAATAATTTTTAAAAAATCCACGCCTTTGAATCCAAGCCTTGAAAAATAATTTTTAAAAAATCCACGCCTTTGAAAAAAAAAATAATTTTTAAAAAATCCACGCCTTTGAATCCAAGCCTTGAAAAATAATTTTTAAAAAATCCACGCCTTTGAATCCAAGCCTTGAAAAATAATTTTTAAAAAATCCTCTCCCTTGTAAAGACCATGAAAAAAATTTCATTAACTCCCATTTGTGGTAGCTTTGCGGAACTCGTGGAACAGTATTCGTGTCAACACGTACTACATATGTGTACCCCTCCCCGTTTTTTGTTGTTGTTATGATGTATGTTTATGCTAACACTTAATCAAAAACGTCGCCACCTTTTGGCACTCTTGGAACAGGCTGGCAGGCTCTTAGGCCCGGTAGAGGAACAAAAACCAAATATTCGAAAAAAATTCCAATAAGAAAAACAAAAATAAAAAACATAACACATACACAAACATACAGACAGACATAGAAGCAGACAAACATATACATGCAAAGAAAAAATAAAGCCATACACATAAACATTTACATAGCGAATATTTTGCAAACACCGGCATAACACATACGCACGCACGCACTCACACCAATACACACAAACATGCATCATAACATCTTTTTTTAGGCCAGGGAATATTATTGGCAACCATGGCCGGAATATATTTTGAGATTATTGAATTTGTGTTGTGTTTTTTTCCGCTCCACAAAAATAGAATTCACAATCAGGGCCAAATGGGAATAAGACAGACCAAACGAGCGACCGACCGACCGACAACAACAATCCAAAATCAAATCAGACAAATAAAAAAATCAACCGATTCGAATCGAAATGAAAATAAAAAAACAAGTTATTCAATACCATTCAAGGGCAGTCTTTCATCTGCTCCAACTTCTGGTCATTTTATGGGGCAGGGGGAGAAGGGGAAGTCTTGGAGCCAAGTTGTAATAGTTTCGGTTGATAGGTTCAGGTTGTGGACAAAAACATGATGTTGTTATGGGGAATATTGTGGTTAGCTAGGAGGATGAGATGAGGTAAAAAGATGCTGACTCTCCGATGATATTCTGTTAGTGATGATGGGAGATGGGGTAGGGTGAGGGCAGTTAGGTTTGGATGGTTGGTTGGTTGTTTGGTTAGGTTGGTAGCTTCTAACATACATACCGAATATTTTCCTGGCACATATATGGGCTGACTATGACTATTTGGTAGATGACCACCACGGCTGGAATTGCCACGATGACCGTGGTGTCGTTGTGTGGCAATGCCACCACTCACGCCACTGCCACTACCGCTACTCCCACTGCCGCCGGCAGGATTCATGGGACTGCGTTCAGCCCATGCTGCTTGTCTGGCATTTTCTAAAGCACTTAAAATATCTCCGAAGGGAGCCATTAACAATTCACAATAAACGGATGCTAGGCCCTCTAAATGACCACGTTGTCCATCCTAGAAGAAGAAGAACAAGAACACAGAAAAATACATAGAGAAGGAGAACAAAAAACAAAACAAATAAAGAAGAAAAGAAAAAAACAAAAAAATTGCAAAAAAGTCGCATAAACACACCACAGAAGAGTTAAAGGCAGCAGCACACACACATACATACACACAACCCAGGTTTATGGCAAATGTTTACAAAAATATGCAGGACAACAGCAAGGATCTAGGAGTAGACACATTAATGTGTGCCTCAATGTCTCTCTATGCTCACCTTGTGTCTCCTGCATTCTTTGGAAAACAGCATGTGTAGGTGAATGTCTGAAGATGTATGGGTGCATATGTATGTGTGGGATACATATCTGTGGAAGTTGATTCCTGCCGCCAGACAGAGCTCAAGCTTTGAGAGTGTCATTTTCAAGCATGTCGCAGGGATATCTTGACACAAACGACAATCAAAACAACAACAATGATACATGGAGATGTACATGTATATGTATGTTTTTGATGTTGTTGTAATGTGTTGCCTTCTAAACATCTGACAAATTTTGGGGATATTTGGAAGAAAGGTCGAGATACACAGGACGAAGGAAGAGAATTGTTTTCTATAGAAAAGAGTTCTCAGGGGTCCTGAGAATTTTTCTATAGAAAAAGAGTTCTCAGGGGTCCTGAGAATTTTTTCTATAGAAAAAGTGTTCTCAGGGGTCCTGAGAATTTTTTCTATAGAAAAAGAGTTCTCAGGGGTCCTGAGAATTTTTTCTATAGAAAAAGAGTTCTCAGGGGTCCTGAGAATTTTTTTCTATAGAAAAAGAGTTCACAGGGGTCCTGAGAATTTTTTTCTATAGAAAAAGAGTTCTCAGGGGTCCTGGGAATTTTTTCTATAGAAAAAGAGTTCTCAGGGGCCCTAAAAATTTGTTTCTATAAAAAGTATAAAGAGTCCGGAAATTTTTTTCTATAAAAAAAGAACTGTGGATTTTTTTTTTATAGAAAAAAAGAAAGGTAGTCCTCAGAGGAAATGAGGAATTGTTTCTATAGAAAAATGAGTTCTCAGAGGAACTGAGGAATTTTTTTCTGTAAAAAAGAGTCTTCAGCGTACGGAGGATTTTTTCTATAGAAAAAGTCTTGTCTGTGTCTGTGGATTTTTTTTTATAGAAAAAAAAGAGTCCTCAGACTAGAAAGGGAGTCCTCAGAGGAAATGAGGAATTTTTTCTATAGAAAAATGAGTTCTCAGAGGAACTGAGGAATTTTTTCCGTAAAAAAAAGAGAGTCTTCAGCCTACTGAGTATTTGTTTTTTCTATAGAAAAAAAAGAAAACAGGTTTTTTATATAGAAAAAAGAGTCCTCAGTGAGATTGAGGATTTTTTTTCTATAGTCCACAGTGAGAATGAGGATTTTTTCCTGCGGAAATTTTTCTATAGAAGAGTCCTCTGTGAGACTGCGGAATCTTTTCTATAGAAACAAAGGGTCGTCAGTGAGACTAAAGATTTGTTTTTCTATAGAAAAATGTGACCTCGGAGGTACTCAGAATTATATTTATTTGGAAAAATATCCCGTTCCTGTGTACCCTCGATCTTGACTTTATCTACGTATATGTGCGAATATATACTTGTCTAGATGTTTACTTAGATGAATGATGGAACTATGTATCTATGTGTGTGTGTGTGCTGATGATATTTTTGCTTGAATGGAATGACTTCGAAAAAAATGAACGTGTGGTATGAAAAAAATTTAATGTGAAGCTCGTAGAGATCATCGAGAGATGAGCTATGAGGTGAGGTGATGATGTGAAGAGATGGAAGATGGTCTGCCTACACAATGTTAAATGTTAAGGTGGTGTGCAGCAATGAATCTAAGTGTGGCCCGGTTATTTGATGAGGAAAAATGACTTTTAATAGAACGACAACAAATGGAAAGGAAAGCAAACCTAAAGCGTTGTCACTGTGTCACCAAAACTGCTACTAGTAATATTGTAGGAAGAGAGAGGTAATGGCCATTCTACATAGAACAACAGCTATATATGACATCTATGGTGGGTTTTGATGTGTTCTCCAACATTATGATGACAGTCAGTCATGTAGATATGCTTCAATACAAATATTTATTAAATTAAATAAAGGAGACAAGGATGGTGAAAAGCCTCCGAACATTGAGGATAGAAAAAAATCCTCAGCACTATGGGGAGTTTTTTATGAAAAAAATCCCCAAACTCCTAAGGATTTTCTCGTGTAGAAAAAAATTCTCACTGATGATTCTTTTTTTATAGACAAATTCTTCAGTACTACTGAAGTCTCTTCTTTTCTATAAAAAAAAATCCTGAGTATTTTGAGAAATTTTTTATATATAGAAAAATCCTCTTATCCTTGAGGATTCTTTTTCCCATAGAAAAAATCCTCAGGTCCTTGGGGATTATAGAAAAAATATCTCAGGTCCTGAGAGCCCCTTTTTTATAGAAATAATTAGGTCCTTGTGGACTCTTTTTTCCCCATAAAAAATCCTCAGATGCTTATGAAAAAAGTCTTCAGGTCCCTGAGGATTGTTATTCTAAAGAAAAAAATTCTTCAGCAGCGCTGAGGATGTTTTTCTATAGGAAAAATTCCCCAGTTCCTAGATCACTCCTTTTTTATAGAAAAAAATGGCTCCAGTCCTTGGGGACGCTTTTTTCAATAGAAAAAATTCCTCAGGTCCTTCAAAACTCTTTTTTCTTATAGTCCTCTTTTCCTTCTCTTGCCACTGTTTGTATTGTCCATTGTCCTGCCTTTGCCTATTATCTATTGCAGCAACTAAACTAATTGTGCCAACAATTCCGACAATGTCGGTAATGGAAACTATGACCAAGGCTATGTGAGAGGCATATTATGTAGAGCTGCAATGGCAGTGAGAGAATGTCACTATCATCCTTGCAACGAACGACGAACATGACAAATTCCCATGCATAAAGGTAAGGAAATGAAGTAATGCCTGACTGGCTGGCGTGCTTGGTTGATACCTGTCTTTCTATGTACATGTGAGTGTGCTAAGGATCCACAAAATAATAAAAGATGGAAGGATAGATACCGGAGCAGTAACAGCAACATCAAGCACGTGAACAACAATGCCTCAACTATGGGAAAAGTGACAAGTGGTCAATGACACAGTTTCACCGATGTGGAATGTAAATTAGTCGACTGGGGGTGGGATACTAAGGTTATATCTCAACAACCTATGGTCCGGTAATACTATAAGTAATGAATGTGTGTGTGTGCTGTTGGGCTATATGGGAGGATGTACGTGTGGATGTGGTCTCAAGTTAAATATGACCCGGCTAGGTGTAGCTATAACTAAATTACAGTCAAGATGATGTAGAACAAAAATGAAATGAAATGAGATGAGATGTGTTGCAAAACTTTGCCTTCGACATTCTAATATCCTTCTGAAGGGGGAGGGGGTGGTTGCAGGGTAATGTTTAGCTGCTGTTCTTGTTTTTGTTGACTGTTTATGATGCCAACACCACCACAACTACAAATAAGGTAAACAAATGATTAATTGATGACAAAATGAATTTAGGTTGATGTTCGGTTGGGGATCGGGTAAACCAAGCAACCAAACAAACCAACTACCAACATCATCAGTCAGTTAGTTGGTTGGTTTGATGGATATCTTGTTGCTGTTATTCCTCCTGCTGTGGTTTAGGAAATGAAGAGCCCGTTTTTGTCCTTTAATTTCAAAAAGTTTTCCGATTTTTTATGGACATTTGTAAAGAGTTTTGTTTTTCTCTCTACGCTTTTTCTTCTTCTTTTTTCCACATCATTTAAAATATTTATCATACAGGTTGTGTGTTCGTTGTCGACGAAGTTCTTTTTGAGGTCATTGATATTATCATTGCTCTAGTAATTTTTCTCATTTGACGGCCATAGTCATTAGAAAGAGGGAATAACAAATTTTAATAAGGTTTTGAGGTTTACATTTTTGTCAAATGTCAAATTATTTTTTTGGGTGAGGACATCGAAGGAAGTTGCATAGAAAATTAAATGAGGAGTTATAAATGAAAGGAGAAATTTAAAATAAAAGAGAGCAAATTGACAATTTTTTGCAATGAAAAGAAAAAGGTACTCAGTTAGACTGATGCATTTTTTTCTATAGGAAAAAGAGTTCTCAATGAGGCTGAGGACTTTTTTCTATAGAAAAAAATTCTATCTCACTAAAGAATTTGTTCCAATATAAAAAATAGTTCTCAGAGGTATTAAGAATTTTTTTCTATAGAAAAAATAGTCCTCAGAGGTACTGTGGAATTGTTTTCTTTAGAAAAAGGAGTCCCTAGTTCTACTGAGGATTTTTTTCTATAGGAAAAAGAATCCTCAGCTTACTGAGGATTTTTTCCTATAGAGCTTTTATTATTTTTTTTTTTCATCAAGTCTGAAAAAATTGCCCCATAATTATTTTATCCTCCTTATTCGTCCTTTTTTCATCTATCCACTTGACATACTTCATTATACGGATTTATGTTAATTTTTCATAATTTTCTTGGTCAAATTTGACAAATTCAAAATTATGCCAAATATTTGTCGAAGTAGACTAACTGTTTGGTTGGTTCTCTGGTTGCTTGTCAATCACAAATATGAGCCTGAACGACAGTCCATCATACTACGATGTTAGGATGGCAAAGACAAAGGACGATGGATAAATGAATGGTTAAGTGGGCAAACAAAATATAAATGAATAGATAGATAGATAGATGATGAAAAATTGGGAAAACATTAAAATTGCCTAGCTTCATTCTTACCCCCTTCTCGTTAACCTCTATGGCTATTGGCTATTTTATAGATTTATCATTTTAAAGATATAAAATATCAGTTTCTTTTTTGGAGTAAAGGATAGAAGGGGGGGGGAGGGTGGTGGTTTTATTCATATTGGCGTGCAAAATGTAATCCTAGGCATATTTCTTTTCATCTCCATTGAGCCGTTATCATCATTTCTTCATCCTTTTGGAAGGTCATTAATATTCCCGGCAAATTCAAAAAAATCGTAATTGACAT